AGGAGAAAACAGGTACGGGCTCCCCGCGGACGGCCCGGCCCCCGCCCCCGGCAGCGCCGTGAGGGCAGCGCGGCCGCGGCGCTGCCCGGCGGCGGCGGAAGGCGGCAGCGCTAAGATGGCTGCGGCGGCGGCGGCGCGGGCGGCCCGTACCTGTTTTCTCCTTGATCTCGCAGAGGACGCTGAACAGGGCGGGTTTCATCCTGTGGCAGTTCAGGGCGTGTTTCCTTGAAGAGAGCACAGGACAAGCGGTTAACGCCGGGCTCCGGCAACATGGCGCCTTCCCGAGCCCCGCGCTGGGGCCGCGCGCCCCGGCCGGGGGTCCCGGGGCCGCGGGCGGCGAGGGGCGGCCGGACCCTCCCTCACCCCGCCGCACTTTTAAACCGAATTATCTTTGTGCAAACGCCGCCCTAACCGGGGGGATAAATCACCCCCCACACCTTGTCCCCGTCCTGCGATATTAGAACTGATTTATTAAGGAGGATGGGGGGGAGGGGATGGCGCAGAGTTAACATTGTTTTTTGTATTTATTGTGATTTAATACGGCCAGGGTTCGGTTTGGGTTTTGTTCACACACACACCCCCCTCTCCTGCAGCAGTATCTAGTCGGGTTTATAATTCATCTGCCGCCACTTTGAGACAAGAAAGAAAGAAAGAAAGGGACAAAGTTGTACTTTCAGGGATGGCCGGCCGGACAGACGGACGGACAGACGGCGGCGCAGAGGCCGGTGTCCACCGGACAGTGTCCAGCGGGAACGGGCAGGGATCAGCCACTGCCTCCCGCGCACCACAGCAACGGCAGAACCATCGCACACTTCTCCATTTATTATATCTAATTTTTTTTAAGGAAATAAATCATTAAATAGCAACTTTGGCTCTGCCTTGGCTGCTGGTAATTTCTCCTACGGCCCCAAGAAGTTGCTCTTAATTGTGAGACTCCGGGTCTCCGCAGAGGAGCAGGAAGAAGAGAAACAAAAACCACACACACACACCAAAAATAAAACTAAAAAAAAAAAAAAAAGAATAATAATAATTTAAAAAAAAGGACAAGGTTTAATTAGACGAAACCAACTTTGCTTGTGCCTCATCCAGGCTTTGGTCAGTGATGGTCATGATCTGATGGAGGATGTCGCCGATGTCCTGCTTCCTGCCGTCGCCGTCGGCCCCTTCGTGTCCGTGGGGAGGCGGCAGGGCCATGCCCCCCTGCACCGAGTGCCCGGCCAGGTTCACGCCGGCCAGAGTCTGCAGCATCCTGGACTGATCGTCCATGGCTCCGGGCCGGGCCGCGCTCCGGGCGGTCACGGCAGCGCCTGCCCCGCTCAGTCCCAGTGCCGCGCTCCCGACCGCGCTCTGCACACACACCACAAAAAAAAGGGGGAGAAAAAAAAAAAGCCAAACAAAACAATAAAAACAAAAATGTAGTATTTGTGATTTGACCGGATCTCAGCTGTTTATTCCACTCTCTTCTCCTTCCCAGGGCAGTAAATCACTCTCTTCTTTAGTTACAATCTTCTTTCATCATCATCATATTGGTGCCTCGGATAAATGAGCTGAGCAGGTTTCTGTGAGGTTTTCCTGGTACAATCTTCCTCCAAAGCTTTTTTTTTTTCCCCTTTTTATTTTTATTGTCGCTTTTTATGTCTTTCCCCACTTGTCCAAAAATCTTCTTTGAAAAAAGGCAAAATTAAAAAAAAAAAAAATTAAATACAAAATCAAAAAAACTCGCTTTCAAATCCTTCAGAAGTTGGGAGGGTGCAAACAGCAAAACCCACAACAAACCAGCGAACACCCCCACCCCCAAATTGCAACATAAAAAAAAGCCAAGAAAACACAATCACAGAGGGGAAAAAAAAATTAATCGCCCTCCCCCCCAAATAACAAACGATCCCAAGTCTGTGCACGGGGGTGAGACAGCAGCAATCAAAAGTTTGAACTTGTGCAAAGAAAAGAGCGGAAATAACGGGGAAAGAACTGTAAAAAAATTAATTACACACTCTCTGCAAAGCAATGTGCAAAAATATCGGCCCGCCGGAATTTATGAGCCCCGCGCCCGGTGCCCGCGCGTGTTTTATGTTGTTTGATGGCCGCTCCGGTGAGGGATTGACAGGCTGCCAACGCCACTCACTCACCGCAGACGTGTCACCCTGTGAAGGAGCCGAGCGGCGCGCG